GCAATAATCGAACGGAGAGATTGTATAGTTTGGCAAAGTCTGTACTGTTTTCATGAAAAGGACTGCAGAACCAGTCATTTTGATCGCATATCTGAGTCTGCAAAATGCTGAATTTTACCGTGCATAAACAGGCGTCGTAGGCTGTGAGATAAAATTCCTATCAAAACGCGACTTTTAAGAAGTTTGCAGTTTCCTCCCACTTTCTATTCTTTTATCCAAGTTTAAATGAACAGTTTTAAGAGTAGGTTCATGAATTGGTTTAAATTCATGAGTGGTGAATATTTCAAATTCATGAACGCGTGCATTCAAAGGATGTTATTAAACTCCAGGAATTAAAACAACTATTAATCTCATTTCTCCTCATTTTCTTTTCTCCAAGATTAAAAAAACAATTTTTACAGTGCTCTATGGCTTTAATAACCTTTAATACCATTAAAATGTGGTGATAATCGCTCTTGACCCTAATTTTTTTCTTCCCAAGTGTTAATCAAATCTTTCTAGATTTTGAAATATGAACACCCAGATGGAAAGGCAAAAGTATAGAATGCATAATATTGATAATTTTTAAATTTTAAGTTTAGAGAATTAAATTTTATATACAATATAAAGTAAGAACTAATAATGAGTTTGGCTCTTTCCATTATCTATTTTAAAAAGTTAAAATAAAAGGGTCTTTAAGCTTATTTTTAAACATTGACTTTTTTAAAATAGAAATCATCTTAAATTTAGAGGGATTATTGGTAATGCTTTTAATTACAATTAAACATAGTTATAAAATCCAGCCCGCCCCGATCGGTCGGACCGGAAAATCGACGGTCTGAACCCTTGACCGGACGGGCAGATTAATTTGATTGAGATATACTTGACTCGGTGACTTTGACCGAGTTAATGATGATTTACCCGGCCCGTTGACCGGTTTGATTGAGTTTTGAAACCATAATACAAAATTTTTGGGTCCAAGGAATTGAACCTTGGACCTCTATGAAAAATAATGGATTTTTCACCACTTGAACATAAAATACTTTAGTATTACTTGTAGGAAATAACTTATACCTATTTAATGAATCATTTATAACTTAACTTCTATAAAAATATTATTTTAAAAAATTTTGGTCAAACATTTTACTTTATTTTATAGAACTAAATAATTAGTGAAAAATAAATTAAAATTTTTTATTTTGCCCCTAAAATAAAATTTATACTTTATAATTTTTGTAGGTTTTTATGCAATGACCTGGTGGTTGGTCATTGATTGAACCACTAACCTATCGATTCGCTGTATTATTTGGGTTTGTGTCCGGATCAAATCTAGCCCCCGTTTGGCACCTATTTTTTTCTCATTCTCATTCTCATTTTTTTCTCTTTCTTCATTTCAACCACACATTCTATCAATAAAATAATATTACACATAAACCTAAAAATTCTCCTAACTTTTTAACCACACATTCTTCCATCAATCACTAATTAAAAACACATTTTTCTATTAAAATGGGTGTCAACAAATAACTATGCACGTAAATCGGATTTAAAGGAAAATTACAGTTGACTCAAATACTTGCAGTCAAAGGGGTCTCTTTTTCTTCTCAAATTAAATTTGGTCTCTCACGTGGACTTTACAAAGGTGGACTTTTCTGTTTTAGAATTCCATTATTTTGACTGGAATACAGAGGTGCAAATTAAACAAACAAAACAAGTTACGAATTAAAAACGAGGTCTTCGACAGTTTCTAGCGGACACCGGCCTTTTCCTTTGACTGGAAAAAATTGTATAAATATTGTTAAAAATTTCAAATTGACATGAGATTAATTTATTGAGAACTGAAAATTTTATTGCAATTTGTGAAAATGAAATTATTGATTCTATGACCAAAAGGGAACACATCAGACCATAATCGACAATCATGCTTGGTGAACACTTCGGTATACATTTTCGTTGACAAAATGTCTCATTCTAACATTTGACAGTTTAAACAAAAAGTTATTTTTGCAGCAATGAAATTTTGTCAACACACCATATGTCAACGACGAAGTTAAAAAATGTTGTACAAATGGCAAACTTCCCATAATCAGTGCCTGGTAATATTCTTGTATGTTTCAAAAATAAATTGTAAAATGTAAATTATTGTAGAAGTTTTCTTGTTTCACTTTCCTATTTAATTAACGCAAAATGCATATAACTTATGAATTAGTCGAGATAAAAAAAGATTGAAATGTGAAATACTGTTAGGTAGCTAGAACCGACAACCAGACTATAACTATTCATTGATCGATTCAAAATCATGAAATAAACCGGATTCAACAAGAATTGAACCAAACCAAATTGGCTATTTTGCCTAGGTTTTAGTCCAACTCAAGTAGTTTCAAGAAAAAATATCGACCCCTATCGTCTTTGGTTAATTTTTCTGGATTATGTTGGAATTGGATATAAATTAACAAAAATTATTCGCTCATCGATTATAAAACCAAGAAATAAACTAGTTTCAATTGGAACTGAACCAGACCATTTGGCTAGTTTGCATGGGATCCCGTTCGAGTAGTTTTGGATAATAACGTTGACCGTTATTTATTTTGTTTAATTACTCTAGACTATATTGAAATTGGATATTCACGTACAGAATAAAGATTTAAATGTCAATGTTGAAAAATACACCACTGGACAAAACTATTGAGTCAAGTATTTGGACCCAAAAAAATTAATTTATAAATTAAGATCAAGTATTATAATGTTGAAAATAATGCTTTGAAACTTGAATGCTCAATGTTAGAAATTTCATTCATGGCTCATTTGAAGTTTCGTCCATGGCTCATTTTTCAACTTTTAGCTTGTAATGTAGATGACTAGACTTAGCTATCTTTGGACTTTGATGACATGTTCGATACATTAAACTACACAATATAAAACAAAAAAAAGAAAGAAAATATGTTTGCATTATGTGCATTTTCATGTCTAATACTTTATATATATATTAGGTGCAAGTAACGTACAATGCACGTTTGCCTAATTTATATTTAATAGTTTTGTTTAAAAATTAATTTGTTATTAATAAAGATGTAATTTTTTGGTTAATTAAATAATTAATGATGTAATGTTTATGTAATTGATAAATAATTAGATGTGTGATTTTGATGTTGTGATATAAGTTGGTGAGATCGAAGAAAATAAGCAAAATTTGACAAATTTAGA